GTGCTGCTGCCCCTGCCCCAATGTCCCTCAATGTCCCCCCAATGTCCCCTCGATGTCCCCAATGTCCCCGATGTCCCCAATGTCCCCCCAATGTCCCCAATCCCCCCCGGTGTCCCCCTGTCCCCTGTCCCCTGTCCCGGTACCGCCACTTCCGGCAGCGGCAGCGAGCCCGCAGCGCGCGCGGAGGCAGGGGAGGGGCCGAGAGCGGTGATTGGCTGAGCGCTCTGATGGGCGGGGTCACATACCATATATGGGCAATGCTCCGCGGTGGGCGGGGCTAAGGGCGGTGAGAGCGGCGAGTGGGCGTGGCTTCTTCTGGGAGGGGCTAATTAGGGTAATTAGGGATGGGAATGGCGATTTGGGCGCGGTTATGGAATGGGCGGGGCTAATTAGGGTAATTAGGGTCAAGTTATGGGGGGGGCAGGGCTAATTAGGGCAATTAGGGCTGGGGATGGGATATTGGGTGTAGATTGATGTGGGCGGGGCTAATTAGGGTAATTAGGGTCAAGTTATGGTGTGGGCAGGGCTAATTAGGGCAATTAGGGCTGGGGATGGGATATTGGGTGTAGATTGATGTGGGTGGGGCTAATTAGGGTAATTAGGGCTTGGGATTGGCCATTGGGCATGGCTATAGGGTGGGCGGGGCTAATTAGGGTAATTAGGGCTGGGGATTGGCTGTTGGGTGTGGTTATGGGTGGGCGGGGCTAATTAGCATAATTAGATGGAGGATACTGGGTGTGGCACAGGTGGGAGGGGCTAATTAGGGTAATTAGGGCTGGGGATGGGATATTGGGCGTGGTTACGGGTGGGCGGGGCCAATTAGGGTAATTAGAGGTGGGATGCTGGGTGTGGCATGGCTGAGTGGGGCTAATTAGGGTAATTAGGGCTGGAGATGGGGTATTGGGCGTGGTTATAGGGTGGGCAGGGTTAATTAGGGTAATTAGAGCTGGGGATTGGCTGTTGGGTGTGGTTATGGGTGGGCGGGGCTAATTAGGGTAATGAGAGGTGGGACACTGGGTGTGGAATGGGTGGGTGGGGCTAATTAGGGTAATTAAGGAAGGAATATTGGGTGTGGTTAGGAGGTGGGCGGGGTTAATTAGGGCAATTAGGAGTGGGGATGGGATAATGGGCGTGATTATGGAAGGAGTGGGGCTAATTAGGGTCATTAGTGATGTTCTATGGGGTGGGCAGGATTAATTAGGGTAATTAGGCTGGAGATGTTCTATTGGATGTGGTTATGGCATGGGCGGGGCCAATTAGGCTAATTAGGGCTGGTGTAATGGGCCTGGCTTGATGTGGGAGGGGCTAATTATGGTAATTAGGGCTGGGGAATGGTATTTGGGGCGTGGCTATGATGTGGGTGGGGCAAAACCCCAATCCCAAATCCCCCAATCCCAAATCCCTAATCCCTAATTCCAATCCCAAATCCCAAATTCCAATCCCAAACTCCTAATCCCAATCCCAATCCCAAATCCCCAAACCCCAAATCCCTAATTCCAATCCCAATCCCAAATACCCAAACCCCAAATCCCTAATCCCTAATTCCAATCCCAAATCCCTAATTCCAATCCCAAACTCCTAATCCCAATCCCAAATCCCCAAACCCCAAATCCCTAATCCCAATCCCAATCCAAAATACCCAAACCCCAAATCCCAAATCCCTAATCCCAATCCCAAATCCCTAATCCCAATCCCAAATCCCAAATCCCTAATTCCAATCCCAAACTCCTAATCCCAATCCCAAATCCCCAAACCCCAAATCCCTAATCCCAATCCCAATCCAAAATACCCAAACCCCAAATCCCAAATCCCTAATCCCAATCCCAAATCCCAAATCCCTAATTCCAATCCCAAACTCCTAATCCCAATCCCAAATCCCCAAACCCCAAATCCCTAATCCCAATCCCAAGAAATTGGGCGTGGTTACGGGTGGGCGGGGCCAATTAGGGTAATTAGAGGTGGGATGCTGGGTGTGGCATGGCTGGGTGGGGCTAATTAGGGTAATTAGGGCTGGGGATGGGAAATTGGGCGTGGTTACGGGTGGGCGGGGCCAATTAGGGTAATTAGAGGTGGGATGCTGGGTGTGGCATGGCTGGGTGGGGCTAATTAGGGTAATTAGGGCTGGGGATGGGATATTGGCGTGGTTACGGGTGGGCGGGGCCAATTAGGGTAATTAGAGGTGGGATGCTGGGTGTGGCATGGCTGAGTGGGGCTAATTAGGGTAATTAGGGCTGGAGATGGGGTATTGGGCGTGGTTATAGGGTGGGCAGGGTTAATTAGGGTAATTAGAGCTGGGGATTGGCTGTTGGGTGTGGTTATGGGTGGGCGGGGCTAATTAGGGTAATGAGAGGTGGGACACTGGGTGTGGAATGGGGGGGTGGAGCTAATTAGGGTAATTAAGGAAGGAATATTGGGTGTGGTTAGGAGGTGGGCGGGGTTAATTAGGGCAATTAGGAGTGGGGATGGGATAATGGGCGTGATTATGGAAGGAGTGGGGCTAATTAGGGTCATTAGTGATGTTCTATGGGGTGGGCAGGATTAATTAGGGTAATTAGGCTGGAGATGTTCTATTGGATGTGGTTATGGCATGGGCGGGGCCAATTAGGGTAATTAGGGCTGGTGTAATGGGCCTGGCTTGATGTGGGAGGGGCTAATTATGGTAATTAGGGCTGGGGAATGGTATTTGGGGCGTGGCTATGATGTGGGTGGGGCAAAACCCCAATCCCAAATCCCTAATTCCAATCCCAAACTCCTAATCCCAATCCCAAATCCCAAATCCCAAATCCCAAACTCCTAATCCCAATCCCAAATCCCCGAATCCCTAATCCCAATCCCAAATCCCAAATCCCTAATTACAATCCCAAATCCCAAATACCCAAACCCCAAATCCCTAATCCCAATCCCAAACTCCTAATCCCAATCCCAAATCCCCGAATCCCTAATCCCAATCCCAAATCCCAAATCCCTAATTCCAATCCCAAACTCCTAATCCTAATCCCAATCCCAAATACCCAAATCCCAAATTCCAGTCCCAAACTCCTAATCCTAATCCCAAATCCCAAATACCCAAATCCTTAATTCCAATCCCAAATCCCAAATACCCAAACTCCTAATCCCAATCCCAAATCCCCAAATCCCTAATCCCAATCCCAAATCCCCAAATCCATAATCCCAATCCCAAATCCCAAAACCCAATCCCAAATTCCCAGTCCCAAATCCCCAAACCCCTCCCCAGCTCCCGCCCCTCCCCAGTTCCCTTCTCCTCCTCTTGGATAAATCCCAAATCCCCAATCCCAAATCCCAAACTCCCAATCCCCAACCCCAAACATCCAAATCCCAAACCCAAAATCCCAAATCTCAAATCCCCAGTCCCAAATCCCAATCCCCAATCCCAACCCAAATCCTAAATCACAATCCCCAATCCCAAATCCCCAGATCCTCAAAGACCCTTCCCCTCCCGCGCCGCCCCCGCGATGCCGCCGCCGCCGCCGCCGCTCCCCGGAGCGCCCGACCCGGCCCGCGAGGGCTCCCGGGACCCGTTCCGGAGCTCCGGGGACTCCCGGGAGGGGTCCCGGGGAGGGTCCCGGGGGGGATCCCGAGGCTCCCGGGGGTCCCCGGGCCGCCCCCAGCGCTACCGGCGCCACCCCAAGCCCCCGTACTCGTACCTGGCGCTGATCGCCCTCGTCATCCGCGCCGCCCCCGGCCGCCGCCTCAAGCTCGCCCAGGTACCGGCCCGGGACCACCGGGAGACCCCCGGGACCCCCGAGGGGTTCCAAATCCAGCCCCGGGACCCCCGAATTGGGATCCTCATCCATCCCCGGGACTCTGTCGGGATTCCCGATCCATCCCCGGCACCACCGGGAGACCTCGGGGCTTCTCATCCAACCCGGGACCACCGGGAGACCCCCGGGACCTCCTCGGGATCCCCGATCCATCCCCGAGACCCCCGAATTGGGATCCTCATCCACTCCCGGGACCCCCTGGAGACCCCAACTGGGACCACCGGGACCTCCCCGGGACCTCCTCGGGATCCCCGATCCATCCCCGGCACCACCGGGAGACCCCCGGGACCCTCCGGGGTCACCCAAAATTCTCTCCGGGACCCCCGGAATTCCAAGACCCCATTCCAGGACCTCAATTCCCGTCACGGAATTCTCAAATTCCCGATACCCCCAAAATCCCTCTCCCCAAAAAAACCCCAAAACCCCCAAAATCTCCTCCAAAAAACCCAAAAAAACTCCTCAAAAAACCCAAACTCCAAAACCCCCAGACTCAAATCCCTCTTTAAAAACCCCAAAAACCCCAAAAACCCCCAAAAAATCGTCAAAAACCCCCAAACTCCAAAACCTCGGTGGCATCCTTGCCCTTAAATCCCCCCCAAAAAAATCCCAAAATGGAAAAAGTCGGGAGCCAAAAAAACTCCACAAGTGGAATTAAAAAAAAAAGGAAAAAAAAACTGAAAAAATTAAAAAAGCCCAAAAAAATCTTCCAAAAAATCCCCCAGAAAATCCCAAAAAACCCCAAAAATCCTTCCCCAAAAAAATCCCAAAAGATCCCCTAAAAAACACCAAAAATCCCAAAAAAAATCCCTAAAAAAAATCCCTAAAAAATCCCAAAGTCTCTAAAAATCACAGAAAAATAGGAAAAAAATCCCCAAAAAATCTCTGAAAAACCACCAAGAAATCATACAAAAAAATCTTCCTCCCAATAAACCACCCCCCCCAAAAAAACCCCAAAAATCCCCTCCCAAAACCCAAAAAATCTTTAAAAAATCCACAACCTGCCAAAAAATTGCCAAAAATTCCTAAAAACTTCCCAAAAATCCCCTCCAAAAAAACCTCCAAAAATGCCCAAAAAATCCTTAGAAAAAACCCAAAAAATCCTCTCCAAAAATTCCAGCCCCCCCTAAAAATCCCCTTTAAGACCCCCCAAAATATCCCCAAAAATTAAAAAAAAAATCCCCAAAAAAATCTCCCAAATAAATCCCCCCAAAAAATCTCCAAAAAGCCCAAACCCCACCAAAATATCCCGGGAAAACAACAAAAAAAAACCCCAAAAATTCTTAAAAATCCCCTAAAAAACCTCCTAAAATCCCCCAAAAATCCCTAAGAAGATCACAATAAACCCTCCTAAAAATCACCCCCAAAATCCCCCCAAAAAATCCCCAAAAATCCCCAAAAAATTCTGAAGAAACTCCAAAAAATTCCTTAATAAACCCCCAAAAAATCCCTAAAAAATCCACCTAAAAAACCCCAAATAGTCCCAAAAAAATCCCAATAAACCCCCAAAAAATCGCCAAAAATCCCCCCAAAAATTCCTTAAAAATTCCCAAAAAATCCCCAAAATATCTCCAAAAAAAACCCAAAAAATTCCCCCGAAAATTCCCC